CCTCCGCCCCCCTCGACCCCCCGAAACCGCCCGTTCCCCCAGATCGCGCGTTTCTGGCCGAGCCCGCCACCATGGTCAAGGCGTTCATCACCGGCGGCACCCTGGCAATCCTCTTCATATTCCTCTTCTCATTCGTGGGAGTTTTCGGGGCCATGACGGCGATCCTCCGCCCAGAGACGTGAGCTGGGGCGCAGGGGCCGCGCCTTCACGCCAACTCACGCCCTGTGTGCCCGGGCGCCAGATCTAACCGGTGGTGTGGCGGGCGGGCGTCAAGGCGGGGCCTCGCACCCACCGCCGCCCCTCCTCCCCGCCCCGTCTGGCCCGCGCGCGCGCCGCAGTAGCAGCCCCAGGGACGTTATCCTCAGAGTGAAGCCAAGCCGCAGGGCGCCGCAGCCGGCGCACGCTTGCGAACACCCAGCCGATCCAGCGCCACCATGGCCGAAACACAGTCGCGTAACCCCCCAAAAACCGCCCCGTAACCCCCTGGCAGGGTGCCCTGTGAGATCTATGCCGGCATGCTGGCCGGCCAGCCGCCGGCTGTCGCCCGCTACTTTGGCACGGCCGTCTTCTCGCTGGTCAACCTCATTTTCCTGGTCAGCAGCTGCACCGTTCTGGACTCGACGTTCGCATCCACCTCGAAGCTTTTCGGGCCCGAGCTCTGCGGCGCGATCACGCGCGGCCGGCCGCTGCCGCCGCAGCTGGCCACGAAAAAGTGAGTCGGGCAAAGAAGAGCCCAGAGCTCATCTAGATGGATCCGGTTGTGGACGCCTCCCAAACGGCACGCTTCTGCCGTCTTTCTGCCTCGTGTTGGGGTGTTCAACAATGAAGAGTCCGGTTTTGACCAGCACAGCCCCCTTCGTCAGGCCAGCCTCAACCCCAGGAGACGCGGACGAAGGGGGGGCTCTGCCCAGCCCCGCGGCTAACCTCGGATTCCACGAAAACTGGCCCCCCTGCTCCCCTTTCAGGCACACCTGGGTGGGGCGTGTTGCCATGGTCCTCATGGCATTGGTCGGCACCCTGCCCCTCATCGCCGGCCCCTCCGCCCTCGACGCCACCACCATCAGCGGTGCGCCCGCGCCCGCGCACGGCTGCGTTTTCGGGCGCGCGGCGCCGCCTGCGCCCCGCCTGCTCGCGCCCCTCGCACACCCAAAGCACACACGCAGATCTGCGCGCACTGGTTGCGCGCACGCTCTACTGCGGCGCAGCGCTTATCACTGCCGCACCCCTTCTTGTGGCCGAGACGCCCGCCTCCGCGCATCAGGCTGGCTCAATGGCGTACAGGGCTAGCGGCACGAAATTGCGACACCGCCTGCAGATGGTCCCTTGCCCCAGGCCTCACACATTCACCTCAGTATCCATCATGCATTTTTGAAGCCTCGTCTTTCACCTGACACGACCGCCTGCGCGCGCTCCCATATGCTTCCATCCTACAAACAACAGGCACCATGGTCGTAGGCTTGGGCCCGCCTGTCTTTGCGCTGATGTTCATCAAGGGGTACCGCCCCCTCGTCTTCCACCTGCCGTTCTGGTGAGCGGCGGTGTGTTTTGAGAGGGTTGGGTGCCAACTAACGAGTTCTCGCCTGCCTTGCGCTCTTGCTGCATCAGAAGCAGTGGTACCGCTCACATGCAACTCGGAATAGGGGCGCGAGTCATCGGGAGGCTGTAAGGGCGGGGGCGGGTCACAATGAAGCTTCTCAGGTTGCAGCGCTGATTGGTTTGATTCCCGGCTGCAAGTTTGCCGGACGCGGTGGCAATACTGAAGGCGCGGCGCACGCCCCTGACCCGGGCACAACCTGCCACCAAAAGAGCTGTGCGTCTGCCCATTTAATGGCGCCTAGTCCTGCGGTGTGCACAGCCGGCGGTCTTCCAGCAACACGCGTTTTTTGTGGCGCCTGTAAAACGGCTGCTGAAAACAGAGGCTGCTAGCGGTGCCTCCAAAGTAGCTGCTGTCCCCAGCGGTCAAGCCTCACGGCCACAACCCTGCCATCCACGGACGCACGCGAGCATCTCGACTTCCCCTTCCCCACCTCACTCCTGTCGTTACAGTTCACACCCCAACCCCATCCACCTTACAATAAGATCTTTCCCCCAACAACCTTATCCACCACCACACCATCACCCCACAACGATGTATCCATCCACCCTACCCAACACACCCCTGTTCAAACACCACTCACAGTAACCAACGCCGCCATCCCCGTCTTGCCTGACCCCGCGATCCCACCAGGACTGGCGTCGCGTTTGGCATTGTGATGCAGCTCTCCTCCAGCCCCTGCTGCAAGGACATGATGAACATGACAGGTGGGGGGGAGAACATGACAGGTGGGGGAGAGAAGATGACAGGTGGGGGGGAGAGCATGACAGGTGGGGGCGAGAATATGACAGGTGGGGGCGATCAGGTGGTGGAGGGGAACATGATCAACGTGACAGGTGAGGCAGGACGATCCAGTGCTGAAACAGACACAATGGAAATGAAAGTGTTGGGTGTTGTTCAAGGAGGAGGGATGCCATGGCAGGAGACGGGCCTGGCATATCTGTGATGTCTGGGCCCCAGGCAGTGCTGCATCAACGGCCCCCACGCCCCTGAGGTTTGTTTGCTGCGGTGCGGAAGCTGCGGCCATGCATCCCCCTTCGTACGGAGGGCACGTCAGCGGCGGGCTGATGCATTCGACCGCATCAACACCCCTGGTACCCTCCACCCACCTACCCCCCATTCACCCAGCTACCCGCGTGCCTGCCCCTCAACAACACACCCATTTTCAACAATTCGACCTTGCCAGGCTTCAAGATCGGGGGCGGGACCTACGCCCTGCTCCTGGGAGTGAATGTAACCAGCACCATCTGCTGCTGGGCCCTCGGCGGCCTGGCACTCCTCGACAACCGCACCGGGCGCGATCTGGTAACCTTGGATGACGGCCAGGACGGCGTCGTTGACGGCGGCGACGAGGCAGTCGCTGTGGGCTCCAAGGATGCGGGCGCCCCGCTGCCGCCGGCCGGCGCCGGGGCCGTCTCCGCAGTTTGATTTTGGGTGCATCAAACCGTCATAATTTGATAATTTGAAACGATGGAAGCATGGGGTTGCTGTCGAGATGTGGCAGCGCATGGCGTGGCCCCACCTCGCCAGACGCGTTGCGTTGGCATGGGGGCGTCCTGTTCCACGCAGAGTAGCTGTTTCGGGTCACCTGCTGATTTCAGCGCTGCTGACTGGCGTTGCCAATGCAATAGGAAATGTATCATTTTTAGTTTCTGGGGGGCCACATTTTTGTCACCGCACACGTCAAGACGAGGGCTGCACCACGGTAGCTGCACTGAACAAAACCAAAGGGCAGGAGGTTTCGTTGACGCCATTTTTTGGCGAATGCCGCAACGGCACGCTTGCACGACTGCCTGTCTCGGGCAAGGGGCGCATTGCTTGTCGCACGCATCTCCCTTCGGCCGTATCTTCTTGGGATTTGGGGCACGGGTGTGCAAGGTTGGATTCTAGTTCGGGGTTTCACACTTCTGATGAGAACTTGCATGCGTGGTGGGCTTCCAAGCGCAACCCTGCTTGTTTGGCTGTATTTCCGAGGTTCACCCCGCCTAGCTTGTTTGGGGCTGAGATCCTCCAAGCCAGGACGACCCCAGGCAGCAGCACCAGTCCTCCAGGGGAATAACTTAATCATCAGTCTTTGATCGTTGGTTTCTGCCGCGCTGTTTGCGTGCGTGCCTCGCGCCTCTGCTGCCCACCTATTTAAGCCGCGCGCCTCGGCCGCCTGTTGTTCAAAGCCATTAATACGCGAAGGAGGTGCTGTGGATTCGACAGGAGCTGCGCTGAACATTTGACCGTACATCCTACATCATGGGCGCGCAATTCAAAAGACCTTGCAAAGCGTCAAGCAAAGCGGGTGTCTGCACCTGATCGCACTTGATTCCAAACGCACCCCTTGGTGTGTCCGATTGCAACACCCTGTCTTTGGGGTTGCTGATCAGGTAGCCCAGCAATCGTGGCTTTGCCCACGCCATTCGGCCTGCTCGCGCCCCCCCCCCCTCCACCTTGCTCATTGACCACGGCACCATTCGACTGTGCGGGCATCGTCTGATACAATCTGATCTGGCTACAGTACCTTGTTATGTCTGTCAAGGCAGGGCGCTGCCTTTTCTGCTGCCTTGGCCTCAGGCTCGCGCTGTCAGAGCTGCAAACAAAACTTTAGGCAGCCCTGCCGACGCAGCAGGCGGGCTTGCGCGGGGGCGCCGTCCCTCTGGACACTTGGAGCCTGGCTGGGGCCGCCTGCGGCTGGGTCAACTGTCATCAGGCCCATGCGTTTTCATCGTCATCGGACGGATTTAGATGTGTCCCTGCCACCGTGGGCTTTTGACGCCACCTTCGCACGTACCTGGGCTGTAACGAAGTTGCGACCTCCGCAAGCAACTGATTTTGCACGTGGGCGCTTTACTAAAAGTGACGCTGCAGCGATGTCCCCTGCAGCCAGCGAGTGGCAGAACAGGGACCACTGCACTCGTGACCCACCCACCCCGCAAAGCATGTATTGCTTAAGTCTCGCCGGCTTGAGCTACGCATGCTTTGCGGGGGCGGGGCTTCAGAATAGAAGTCCAGGTGCATGGCACACAGCAGTACAGCAAGGCGCATGCAGCCAGCCCGAAACGATGCCTAGCACGCGCATGGTATAATTATCTCATTCGTGGGCTCCCTTCAGATAGTTAATTGAGAATGACACTTGAGCGGCAGCTGCACCCGCCAAGATCCAATAGCTCGGACACACCTGGAAGTTTCCCAGATCTTATGAGTGCCTAGACATATCATGTCTTACTCGAGTAAATAGACATGGTCACGGTGTCATGCCGGTGGTTCGCGCGAACCTGCTTCAAATGACGAAAGCCTGGGGCCGTTGCGTCAATACGATAATGCAATTGTTGACTCAATTCCTTGTGAAGTCGTGAAGTCCTGAAATGCGGAGCATCTCCAACAGATCAAGCGCACGCCGCGGCAGCGTGCGCGCTGCATCGCGCGATGATCAGAAGCGCAGCCCACAGCGTCGGTACGACCTGGCAACATCCCCGCATTCCTGCAGGATTAAGTAATAGTGTATTGATCAGGCCCGGACTACTATGGCGTATGTGGGAAACTCGTTCGCCCCTGCTATTGCGGGGATACTGAACAGCATCGGAAAAGTCCTCGGCTGCGGCGTCGGCAACGGCGGGGGCCTCGGAAACATCAACGCCTGCGGCAACGGCAACAATCGAGCCGGTGGGGCCGTGGCGGCGCGGCGGCTGGTGGCATTGGGCGACCCTTTTGGTGGCTTTGGCTGGAGCGGGCTGGGCGCTCAGCAGTTGCAGGTGGACTGGCTGGGCATGGCCGTACTAGCTGGGGCCCTGCTCGCAGCGGCCGGCTACCTCGGATGCTGCGCCCTCGTCAAGCGCAGACGCGAGAGGTGCGGCGCCGCCGCTGCTGTTGCGGGACGCGGTCTCCCGCTTTTCAGCGCCATGGCGCCTGATCTGGTGGATGATGGGCGTCGGTTATGTCGTTGCTGAGCTGGCCGGGGACCTCAGAGATGGAAAGCACCTCATGCTGCAAGTGGCGAATTGCATGCAAGCAACAAGTCAAACCAACTTTGACCAAAACTTGTGACATGCACCCTCCCCGAACTGCGCTGGTCCGCACCCGCAGGCGCGGCATGGCGCCGCTCGATGCGGGCAGCTTCCGCCTAGCTGCCGCCAGAGGCGACGTCGGCGCGCTACGGCGCATCGCCGCCTCCTGCGCCCGTTTCGACCCCGAAGCGCCGCTCGGTGGCTTCACGGCGCTGCACGCGGCGGCAGTCGAGGGGCGCGCGGGCGCGGCACTGTGGCTGCTGCGGCGGGGCGCCAGCATCGCGGCGGTCAAGGATGACGGCTGGTGAGGTCACGCATGTGCGCCACGCAGGCCATCCAGGCCGTATACGCGATCTCCATGCCCTACACAACTTCCTTGTGCCACCACTGGGCTGCCTTCCACTTGCAGTATTGTGTCTCCTGCATAATTGCTGCTGTTGCGTACGCGCCTCCCTCATGCCACCGGTGGTGCGGTCGAGAACATAGACACACCCACGTGTGCCAACACCCCTGCCGCATGTCCTGCTCGCACTCCCACTCAATATTAACCGCACCCTATCGCCTCCTTTTAATGCCGCACTCTCAAACAGGTCAAACCAAGCCCTTCACTACGCCGCCGCCCGCAACCACACGGCCGTCGCGCGCGCCCTCCTCGCCTTTGGCGCCGACCCCTCCGCCAAAAACGCCCTCGGCGCCACCCCCGCCGACCTGGCCGAGCGCGGCGGCCACGCGGCGCTCGCGGCGCTGCTGCGCGATGCTCAAACAGCGCCGCACGCTCTGCCGAGCCAGGCGAGGGTGGAGGCGGAGTGGCCGGCCGGCGCGTCAGACAGGCAGGAGCAGCAGGATGGGCGCGAGGGCGGCGACCCTCAGTCTGCCGCCGCCGCCGGGCCCGCGGCTGCGCGCCGCCGCCGCGGCTGGGAGGGCGTCGGGGCGCCGGGCACGCGGCTGGGGGCCGGGGTCCAGGGGTTCAGGGCGGTCGCGGCGCTGGAGCTGGTGGCGGTCGTCGGTTACCTGGCGTGGCGCGGCGCGCGCACGCTCACGCCGGGGTGGTACTATTTTTACAGCATCCCCTTCTTTCTGTTGGAGGTGAGACAGGGTCGGGCCCGCATGCTGCCCTGGGGAGCTTGACCATGGTGGGATTTTGACCCTCAAATTCACATTGAAGGCAGCGGCCCCTTGTTGATATTATAATTGGACCTCTCCTTTCATCTGCACTTGCAATGTGCGACACCGGGCCATCCGACGTGCAGCCCCCAATCTGCACACCCGCCGCACAGGTGAGTACAATTGGTGCACGCATGCACGCTCAGCTGACTCCTTCATCTAGCTGCCACCAGTCCCCTCACCTTGTGCCCCCCATTTCCTGCCTTCACACCCACCAGATCCTTGGATGCGCGTTCTCGAGCATTTTTGTGCTGGGCTTGTGGAACGCCATCGAGCGGCCCTCCAGGGACCTGCGCGCCATGCTGCCGCCCCCGCAGCCCCAAGCCGCAGCCCCCCACTGCTCCCCCAGCCACCTCCACGACGGCCTGCCCGCCACCGCGCACGCACCGTCATGGCCGCGCGTCACTGTAGGTGCGATTCCTCCGATTGATGAGCTGCAGCCATGGCCCGAAGCGCAGCAGGAGCAGGAGCAGGAGCAGGAGCAGGAGCAGG